TAAGCATGAAACAAGCCTAACTGCAGATTTCATGTCTAGGAGGCAGATGAGTTGTTTTGTGAGTTGGGATCTGACCATTCTGTCTCCTAGTGGGAAAATACACATTTTCTACAATCCATTGCTTCTATTTGTGCTAGAGAAAACCTACATATGGAGATAATCGCACACTATCACTCTCCTAGGAGATCCAGCCTCTGACAAAGCTATATGTATCACCATTACAGCCCTCCCTTGTGAAGCACTTAATTGTATATCATGCGGAAAAAGAACACTTTCTACCATTTCTTTCTGTTAAAATTGGAATTCATGTGCTGCCGTAATAGAGAGCTAATGAATACAAAACAGCCTGCTTTATGTTAAAGCATGAGAAGACAAGGTTGTTTCAACAAAAAAAAAATTAAGCTGCAAATAAACTGATTTTTTTTCATTTTCTACCCAAAAGATTTTATTTATCATAGTTCAATAATGCACCAGGTCATAAGAGTTTTCATTTGAAATATTGATTCTGTATTTCCAGATGAAGAGTTTCATGAGCCTTCAGGAAAGGAATATACAGATAGAGCTATTTTACAGACTTCTTACCGTGTGGGTGTTGGTATTATCATGCAATCAAGATGAAAAATGAATATAAAGATTGCTTTAGGATGTGTTTTAATTTATGCAATCCTCATTTGTCCAGGCTTGGTTCAGTACTCAGTTCAATACTTGTCTCGGAAGATGTTCTGCCCCTCTTTTGTTAGAGCAGGGTTTCAGTAGGAGTTGGATCTGTGCCGGTTTTTAAAAGTTTTACTTTAATAATTAGTTAAAAAGCTAAAAATGTTCTGAGAGTGTACAAGCCKTCTCCCACAAACTGGAATGCTGTCCTTGCCTCAGTGACATGTGGGCTAACAGCTCAGACACGGAGTTGTGCATGTGTGGTACTCCCAAACTCAAAACCACCAAGATTTTAAGACAATTATAAATTGCTGGTTTTATTGCCAAGCTCCTGAGAACTTACACTTTGACACAATATTTTCTGGATTACTGTATTTTTGAATTCTATTGCTGACCAATTAAAAAATAATCAGAGAAAATTTCTCACTTGGGCGGATCTCAATCTCCAAAACTGCCTACAGCTTTTTAAAAAGAAACAGGCAAACTCGTGAACATTTACAAAGGCATGTTAATACCTTTCAGCCAAGCAATTTGCCTCCTTCCTCTGTCTGTTCACCCATAGAATTGAACATAATGTTCACTGGTTTATTTTCCACATCAGTAGGTGGAGGAGAAGGATGCATGCGGCTCCCATGGCAGACGGGGAATGAGAGGATCCTGGCATGGGGAAGGGGAAATTTGGAGCTGGTGGAAGGAAGATAGATACAGGCTGCTTCAGTCAGGTGAGGAAGGAGCTGGTTAGAGCAAAGGGCAAGGGTAGGAAGATCCTGTGTTGAGGCAAAGTGCTGGGGAGATGGGAGCACCTCAGCTGAGCAGTGATGGAAGGTGTAGGGAAGTTGTGGAAGGTCTGGGGAGCAGAGCACGAGCATTTTGACACGGCTGCTTTTAGGAGCTGAATCAGGGACTTAGGAAGAGCTCTGACTCGTACATCTGGTGTGCTGAGCAGTGGTCACTGGCTGCCCCCTTACTCTTCTGCCAAGGGTTCAGCAGATCATAGGCTTGAAGGAACCTCAGGAGGCCCTTAACRCACACTTGGCCCAATGCGCAGAGGTCACCACACCACAGAAGAACTGCAGGGAGAAGTTTTTGTCATCTAGCATATTGGTTTAAACTGCCTTTTCTGCAGGGGTTAATGTCTTAAGCAACAAAACACACCTGAGACTGTAGGATGGAGCTCTAAAGAGTATTAGGAAGTGGGGCAGAGCAGCTATGAGGGAGTCATATTTCTCTCCATTTTGTTCCCTGCTGTCTCTCTTCACAGACTGTGGAAAATGCCAGACCTGCAGGTGGCAAAGTGAGTGCTTGCTTGCACCCACCTGCACTCCTGGGGCTCCCTTTATTCCCCTTCTCCTCCAGCCCAAGCCTTCTAGAGAGCTACCCTCTATATGAACATCATCTGCCCTTAGCTCCTCTCATTTGCCCAGGGTCAGGCTGACTCTTACTCAGGCAAATTGGTGAGCATAAAAGATGATTTAAAAGTCAAAATTACAAAGCTTAAAGGCAGAGAGTTATAAGTAAAAATCAAAATGTAGGCCATGTATAATAACAAGGTGTTATCTTGGTTGTGCTACAGTACTTGCTAAAAATTTAGTCCTGAGGGTGTTGCCAGTCTTTGCCAGGCTGCAGGGCAAGTTCCCTCTCAGTTCTCTGTAACTGTTCTGTGTGCTTTTGCTCAGCTCTACTGCTCCTAATTTACTCTTCACTTCCACAGATGTGAAGTCTTGGTGGTTTATCCACAGGGACAGTTACCTTTTCTGTTCAAAGTCTCTCACTGGTTTTAGTCTCCTCCCTTTGTGTTGCACTTCCCCTCCTATTTCAGTTTCTGCCAATTCCTCCCTTTCTCCCAGATGGCCCTAATATGTGTTCTTAAAACCATTCTATTTTTAAACTGTTCTACATATTACACATCATAAAGAGCATTAATTATGCATATTTTCTGTTAAGCTCCTGATCCCTTGTGCATTACCAGCCATCTCTGGAGAAAGGGCTTGCCATATTTGAATGTATTATTAAAGTGGATGRCAGACTGAATGACAATTTTCCTTACATGGATGCATTCTGGACATGCTGTGGCCCTACTGTGACTACTGCTRTCTTCAGAGGTTGGATCCTTAGATTGCCTTATCAGCTTGCAAGAGCTAGGCAGTAGAATTAGGGGTGTAACTCACCTCATCCCACATGGRCACCCTGAGAGTCCTGACAACACGCTCAGGCACAGGTACTCTGCTGAGGATATCTAAGATTTGGTAAGATGGGAACTCACTGTTATTGGTATAAAATTTGTAATAAACTGGGACCGTTGAGTGTGAGAAGCCCACATGAAGCCAATGGAAACAGCTGTGTGAAATCTTGTTTTTGTGAGCTGAATGGTCACTGACCAAACTCCATTATTGTCTCCCAGAAGACACCGATGTCTTTCACATCTCTGTCAGGTCATCAGAGGAGAAGGCAGCCAGACCTTTCSAGGAGATGCTCAGCACTTAGCAGAGTCAAGTCTTGCATTCTTCTCATATTCGTTTTAGTGTATTTATTAACACAGATGACAAGAGCATGGACTCAAAAAAATAAAAATTGCTGAGGCCTCCATTCATTAAGCTACAAGTCGTTCTCATTATGGTGACTGCCTGGCTGGGTGGTCTGAGATGGCTTTTGAGAGCTACAGTTGTAGGGGGACAGAGCAGTAATTCATTCCTGATTTTACTAGGGTGCCTGCTGCTCCTTTCCTGGTTTTTATCCTCTCTCTTTTCTAAAGTTAAGCAGCTCTGGTTGTACCAGTGTTGCCTGGATACCAGTGTCTTTTCCTCAGTTGTTATCACTGCAACATTGTGTAAGAAAATATATAAAAGGAAAACCATGCAACTTAAGCAGCTTGCTTTCAGTGAGGCTTTTTCAATTACTTATATTCATTTGGATAGATCTCCATTACTCATCATACAGTTTAAATTTATGATTTCCACTATGTCTGATTTTCTGTTGACTGGGCAACACAGACAGGATGCTGAATTCCAGRTTTCTGTTTATGTCTTGATATGATCCTGTTTTGATTTATCTAGGATACACCTACTAGCTAATCACAAATTAACTTTTCCATCAGAATAACAGAGATGCTARACAAGGACAGCCACAAAAAAAGTTTAAGTTGCTGTTTAAAGAATAAACTGAGAAGCTCGTGCTCTAGGCAGGAACAGATAGCTTGTAACACCAGCCTGGGATTTAGGTTCAGTGTGTCYCTTCACTATCCCTCTGGGTCAGAGAAGGTCTTGAATGTTTCCAAATGGATCTAGCATTACTGATGCACTTCCATCACTTCTTGCACAATGGAGAATTTCAGGCTCTTGATCTCATCTCCTTCAAGGTAGATGCTCTAATGCAAACTCGAGTAGAGGCTTCTCTCCTGGCTGACCAACAGTCTCATTCATCTTCATCACTTCAACCCCTTTCTTTCCTCTTCAGCACATGTCCACACTGAGTTGCTCACCAGAAATACCCTCTTAATCACTACTTCTGCTCACGCACTGCTGCATTTCCAGRTGAGACAGGGCTAGGAGGAGGCACAAGGGTCAGTATGAGGGCTGGACAAGCAAAAGAACTGACAGATTGGAAATACGAGATTATTTCTAGTGCTTACTTGCATTTTATTTCTTCCTCACAAGTCACTCTAGAAAGCTGTGAGCAGTGCTACAACGACAGTGCATGAGACCTCCTCCATCTTTTGCARATAACATGACCAGTCTTAATTTGTACTAACTATGGTGCTTTTGCAGCAGCTGTTCTCCTCTGGGCTGTTCATCTGTTGCTTTACTTCTAAGCCTCTAATACCAAAGAAAGCAGAATTTTACCCCTCTGCAAGGCGATTTGCCTTGATCTAGAGGTTGTGAAGTGTCCTTCTCTGGAGRTCTTCAAACACTGCCTGGATGCGACCCCGTGCCACATGTTTTAGGGTTCCTGCTACAGCAGGGGGGCTGGACTAGATGATCTCTAGAGGTCCCTTCCAACTTCAGCCATTCTGTGAAGTCCATATAGTTGAGTTCACAAAAAAATGGAGAGTGGAACCATAGTGCTAAGCAGTTTCCAAGTTTCCTAGAATTTTCACATATGAAAAATCAGGTCAGTTAAATCAGTGTCCAAGTGGGTAACAGGCAATTAAGAGCCTATTGGGTGCAAATAAGATGCTTTAAAACCTGAGAGTAGGTTGGTTGCCAGGATGGACTCCTGGCTTCTTGTACCACGGGATAACATGACAGCAGCAGCCATGAGACATATGTATGCTTTGCCCAAATCAGCTTTTTGCTATAGCGCTTGATATTCTATCAAATATGAAAGACATCTTTGTATCTCCCTTCTAGGTAGTGCATTTATTTCTAGCCTCTTCCTAAAGGAGACGATGAGGACTGCTGATATATTGGGTAAGTAAGCGTTTGCTAATATGTGTCCTGCCATATGCTTAGCAAGCTGGAGCTCTCATGCAGCCGCCCCACACCTTCACACTCCCACTTCCCTGAGCAAGTGCTTTGAGGCTGATACTTGCAAAATTGGGAGGAAGTGACAAAATGAGGAAAAATTGCAATACGTATGAAGTCTGCACACTCAAGTCCTCCTCTCTTATAACTGTAACTCATTCTTTGTGTGTCCTTATTGCTCAGATTTATTTTCATTGTCTATTTTTGTCTCTGGGGATGTATTTACTATTCTCTTTATGAGTACAAGGAAATTTTAATAAAAACAATAGGACCTTTGCATTATTCACTCAGGAGATTTTTCTTCTTTCTACATGATATTGCACAAAAATTGAAGCTCAATTAAAAATAACAGCTTCCCTGTTGGTACTAATTTTGCCATTTCAAAGAACAAATAATCATGTTACCAATTTTTTTTTTTTTTGGGAAGTAGTCTTTTCTGTAAAAGCATGTCAGCTTTTAGTCTGCATCCAAGATTTTTGTTGCATATCAAAACTGCCCTGCTTGAACATACTAATAGTGAAAGACAAGCAGGTTTCAGGGTTTGGACTTTACCCCAAGCTGTCTCAGCTGGGATGGTGAACCTGATGTTGCTGTGGGCTGCCTGCTGTTACTGTGAGGTTCCTACCATTACTAGCCTTGATTGTTGATACTATAATAAGGCCATTCCAGCTGTTCTCATGAATGCTTTGGAATGATCTGTTCAGTATTGTTCCAGGAATACTAAGGAATACTATATAATATTTATTTAGGTTTGGGATCCAAGTTTGCCAGCTCAACTGCTAAGTTCAAAATCTGYCCCTCCTCCTCTCCCTCCCCCCCAACTGATCATGTTTCCCTTACGGTCTTATATTTTGGGTTGCTTTAAGTAGTCTTCAGCACTGATTTATTTTATTTCTGTGAGTTAGACTTTGCGAGGAGGATTAAAAATGTTGCTACATTCCATAGGAATGAGCTGTATAATGGGAAATATGGTGATGTTTTTGCAAGCACATAAATATAGAACAGTTTTGCTTTTCCAAAGGAACCGTGGGCGATAGCAGTGCCAGCAAAGTCCTCCGGATGTGCTTTGTTTTGTATTCCTAARCCTTGTATTCCATACCGATACACGGCTTTGCCAAGAATTTTTAAAGATTACTTGAAAAAAAAAATTGATTAGCTAATATCTTCCTTAATCCAGTGCAGCTTATGAGCTCATGATCGGCTCACTTGTATCTAGATACCTCCGTGAACATCTGTGTTTGTCAGCTGGCTGTCCACAAGGCAGAACTTCCAGATTTTTATTAAAAGCACAATAAGGCAAGTTTGACCTTGAAAAGGGGCCCGGCAACCTGAAGGCTGAACAGTCTCTTGTAACTCAACCTTTTATGAAACAGTTCATAGGTCTGCAAATACAGCAGGGAGTGGCCAAAATGCTGGCTTCGTGACAGCTTCACACAAGCATTGGACTGGATCTGTTACACTTAAAGTTTCCAGGGCAGGTCCATAGCTGGTGTGGATCTCTGTGGTCACACTGACTTCAGAAGAGCTGCGTTTATTTCCCCGGTTTAAGGATCTAGCTGTCTGCCTCAATAAACAACTTGTCCTTTCAGTTTAGGATGAGATGTGATCTGCTTTGTGACTATGAGAAATACGGAGGATTAATTCTCTTTTGTCATGCACTTGGAGTTAGAATTGAGCTTATCTGGAAGTGCATTGCCCAGCTGGAGCTCTAATTCACAAGTAGTTCCTGATTTTTTTTTTCCTATTTCCAGAATCCTTTGAGTGTTTATTAAAAATCATGCTAGGTAAGAATACAACTTCCTAAATCCAGATCTGATGAAATGGCCTAAAACTTTCTGCTATAAGCTATTTCCAGATGAGTTGGGAAACAAAGACAACTGTGATTATGYCTATTACCAAAGTAACGTGTCTTTTCTTTAAAGGAGGAACACTGGCAGTAACAGGAACATACCTGTTGGTGACTTTCACTCCAAGTGTACCCCAAGAAATCACAGCAAAGAAAGTACAGAATTACTTAGTGAGCTGGCCTTTTGTGATATATGCGGTGAGTATATAGAGGAGGGTTCTTCTTAAAGCAGAATAACTGGGCATCTTGCAACATCATGAATTGGAGTCTGAAATATGCTCTGGAAGATAAATTGCTCCCTGTGTGGTTTTCAAAGGAGAAGCAGCACGTCCCTGGGTCACCAAGTCCCCATGCTTAAAATTCGATAAGCCAAAAGATGCCTTCCAAGCTATGATTCAAAGGAAAGTAACAGTTTTGCAGCATTGGTGAGAAAGAAAAGATTTTATTTTTTAGTGGACTTCAGAGAAAGACTAAATAATGACTAAATAATGACTAATAATGACTAAATAATGACTAAATAATGACTAAATAATACAAACTTCAAACCCCATCCTTCTTCTTTGATGCATTTAATTAGCATCATGATTAAGACCAGAGTGAGTAGGAAGAATTTCTCCCTGTCCCTCTAGAATGCTGAAAATTTGTTCCTTCGGCTGAATATAGAAGATGCGGTATATGAGCTTCAGAAATGTTGTTTTTCCCCAGTGATGTACCTCACTTTGCCTACATTATTAATGTCCAGGCTTTCTTTCAAGCGGGAAGTTCTCAAACTTTTTCTTAAAACCAATACTTTGCTGGAAAATTGCTTTTCCCAGAAGACATCTTTGACTTTATTTCTGGAAAAGGTCATAAGAACACAGTTGAATGCCTAGGAAAACTGCTTTGCTCTTCCTCGGAGAGACTAAAAGAAGGTGGTAGGTAACCCCTAGACTTTCTCCTCGCTTTCCCTGGCCTCAGCCAGTACCCAATTCTGCATCTACAACATGGGCTGCAGGGATGGAGGGAGCTACTATGCAGGAAGTCTTGTTGACTCCGTTGCCATTAACACATTGATTTGTTCCTTTTGCTTCTTGGATTCATTTGTTTTGAGCTTCATGTCCAAAGAAGAAGGGGAAGGGAAAGCTACACAAAAGACTGAGATACCAGCCTGATTAGCCTGGCAGGTTGCTGGAAGTTAAGACAAAACCTACTATAAACACTCTCTGGGCAGGGTACTAGCTCTTCATATTTGTTYGTGGATTGCCTAGCACAGGTTGGCTGCTGAGATATAAAAAGCACAGCAGAAGCTGCAGAGTTTCCAGTACAAATATATATAGAGAAGAGACAGTGCAGCAGTATAATGCAGTCCAACTTTCTAAAAGTAGCCCTGATGTGAGGTCTGCTGGGAAAGATGAATCCCCAATGGTACAAAGTGCTCTGTGTGGGTGATAAACCATGTCCAGGTGGCACTCCACTGACATCAGAGGAGGTCTACGAAAAAAAAACAGCCTGAATTTCCCACAGGAGGCAACTTTGACTCACTTCCTGAGCTTTTGCAGTAACTTAATCACRTCTGAGCAAGGATGACTATCCTATCTTGCCTTTTCTCTTTTGCTTATGTGCAGTTTTAGTCGCTATAGAGGATAAATTATAGATGAAGTTCTTAGGTTTCCCTAAACAGAGTAACACTGGGTTGTTAATATTTAATCTCTRCAAAATCAAGTTCAGAGAATTTCTGTTTTCCCATCCAAGTGCCTGGAAGACCTAGAAGAATGCTCCTGGTTCATTGGTCCCTGTAATGCTGTTATGTCCTACAAAAACAGTTGAGGGAGGCTGTGGCATTTTGATCTGGTGCCTTCTGGTAATGCTTAGAAACGTGGAAAACATCATGAATATAAAACTCTTGGAGCTTGAAGAAACTTCAGTACAGACTAGTTGTAACAGCAGAAACAATTGCAAGCAGGTCTTTAGTTCTTCTAAACAGAATACACGAAGCTGAGCTAATCTAAACACTTCTCCGTCCCGGTGTTTGCATTAACACTGCCACAGCTATCAGCTGAGAGCGAGCACCTTTTTGGGTAGTGCTCGGGACCCAGTCCTGCAGGCAGAAGCTGAGCACCCCAGGAGGATGCCCTTCCGCATGGGATGCCGTTAGAGCTCTGCTTTTAGGGTGGCTCAGTGCCACGGCCTCTCCCTTGCCTGGTGACTCAAGGTGACCTGCAGGTGGGTCACCAAGTGGCAGAGAACTGTGGCACCACAAATATGGGAAGAATAGTTTGGCTGCTGGCCAGCGTGAGGAGAGCGCTAGTTGTTTGAATTTCATGCTCGGTGGGCGAGACTTGGCAGAGCTGGGTAAAGTTAAATGCCAGCCATCAAAACCAAGCATCMGCTTCCTCCACAAGTGTGTCCTCAGGACCACCCATCCCTGGCTGCACCACTGCTCTTAGCAGCTTCCCAAGGAAGTGGCCTCAGTCAGGCACACAGACCTGCCTGCCCCTTCCAGAGCCAGAGTCTGGGGCTTCTCGCTGTTCCTTGGGCAGTTTTGCTTGGCTCTTTCCTTTCAGAAGCATATTTGTTTGTTTGTTTGTTTGTTTGTTTTTTGCAGTTTGATTTGCTTTTAAGTAGAGACTACAGTGGAGTTTTGTGATAGCTCTTTAGCAAGAGAAGAGCCAAGGACAGGGAGACCAACGGAGGGCTGGTGCCCAGAGGCACCAGTAGCAATGTGCATTGGTTGAGGTTAGTGGTGCTTGGTGCTCCCTTCTGCTCTTGGAGGTCATGGTGCCGTGCCAGAGCAGGCAGCATGCAGGAGCTGGCATGAGGTAGCATTTCTGCAGGTCCAGCAGTGCATATCTGCCACTACTAATATGACTCCTACCTWGTTTCCCGATTTAGACATACTCACTGTTACACTGTTGAATAAACCTGGAGAAGCTGCTGCAGCTCCTCTGTGCAAGACTGGAGCAAAAGCCTCTTTTCTATCATGTGGTGTCCCAGCTTTCACCTCTGGTTGCAAGCATGGTGGGGAGGGAAGTCATCAYGGAGAGAGATGAGACCAACACTTGATAACAGATTGCAAAGATTAGCCCATAAATGCATTTGTTTAATATCAATTTATATATAAATATATATATAGGGCATGTTTGTAGAAAATAGTATGCTTTTCTAACTCTTGTGATCATTGGTTTCTTTGGGAATTTTTGGAGAAATGTGATATAGAAGCCAAATTTATGCCCTAAGGTGCAATTGCCTTTTGGTTGTCTTTGGGAACAAAGGATAATTATGAAGGTAAATCAAAAAATAATTAAAGCGCGATTATATTCTGCTAGTATTTCTGAACACTACTAAATTGAGGGAACATTAGTGTGGCAGAGAAATTTAGTAGCTGACTTGGGCAGATGACTGTTTTCCTGGTGTGGTCTTTCTCCAAAATGAGAAACTGGCTGTTTCGTTATATAACCACTAGTGAAAACTGACCCGTTGTTTCATTTGAAATGCAGCAGTGCAACAAATACACCGGTCTTTTTTGATTCCAATGCTGCCTTATGGATATTGCTGGGCTAAGAGTGGAGTGGCATTAAAAAACATAAAATAGTAACATGGTGTTGGAATCAAAAAGAGAGATTTTTTTTTTGTCTAGTACTTATTTCTTTAGTAAAAGACAGAGAAAAAAACAGATTCAGTAATGAACACAATCTTCTTTTCCATCTTTATTTTCCCCATTTGATTATATCCTGACATGCACAAACTTCTCTTTCTTCACACAGCCTCTGAAGCTGCTGGGCTTCTGACCATCTCTCAGTAATCTCCAACATCCCCATTTTCACCAGCCTCCTGGGCTTCGCAGAAGCTTTTTTGGCTCTTGCATTTGCTGTTTTYTGTGGGTGTAAAGGCGGGTTTGAGCTACTGCCTTATGCTTTGGGTAGGAGGGAGAATATCTGTGCTTTCAAGATGCTGAGGATGCAGAAGCCCAGGTACCAGCTGAGGTGGGAGGGAGGGTGAGGGCCCAAGCTCGGTGGCTTTTGCAGGTCTGACACTGCCTCCTTGCCCTCATGGCTTTGGCCATGACTGGGTCCGCACCTGGACTTTCTGTGGTTGCACGTCACACGCGCAAGATCCAACCCAGAAGAACACGCAGAAGTTGTGTGTTCAGGCCAACCCCCTTCACGGTTTGCAGGGGAAGGAGGTGCCGTGGTGTTCCTGTCATATTGTCACATAGGTTGTCCTCAGGCTCTCCCCGTGCTGATTGCAGCTGGAGCAGGGTCACTGAGACATGCCCTTACGCCCTGGGCTTCCCACCTCCCAGGCGTCACCGTCCAAACGTGCCTCAGACACAGCTGCAGGGATGAGCATGGAGAGCAGCTGCGGAGATACAGCCGTAGAGCCACAGCTGTGCCTGGCTGCCCTCCCTGTCCCAGTTTACATGAGGAGGGCCCTGAGGGCTCATGCAGTAGGAGAGGCTGGAGACCTTCTTCCCTCTCAGTCACCTCTTCAGATAAATGAGAGCAGAGCAAATAKTTGTTTGGAGATGGGCTGTAATTTGCCATCTTAGCAGACTCCCCAGGACTTGTCCAGTTTTCAGCCCAGAGTGAGGTCTGGCAGTGATTTCCATAGCTAGTAATAGCAGGGAGCTTTAGCTGAGCCACTGCTGTTGAAACGGCACCACACTGGCAGAAAGCAGGAGTTACTAAAGGAATCTGCAGGGAGGTTTTTAATAGCAATTCTGCAAATTTAACCGTCAGTCACTGAGCTGTCAGATGTTATTGAGGGAGAAAATTTGGACTGTGTGCAGGGTAAGTAAAGCTGCTTCAGCAACCACAGATGTCCCGCGGCACGGTGTGCTGGTGCGTCGCTGAGCTTTTCCAGGTCCTCTTCTGACAGGTAGCCTGTGATCTGAGAACCACCACGTGAAATAGATGCTCTTCTCCGTATTATGTGTGGCAGCAGGTTTGAACTAAAAGCCAGTGTTAAAGATTTTTTTGGGTAGAACCAGGGAGAAGGGCAAAGAGGGTGGCAAAAAGTGAGTTTGCGTGTCAYGGAGGTGAGCGCTGGGGAAACGGTCACTAAAGGGAGGGATGGCCATTCCCTCAGGTAAGTGCATCCCTCTGCAGGGATTTATTATCAACATAGGGTTTCTATAAGAATTATTTCTAGAAAACACAAGAAACTTTGCTGACACATTAAAAATGTATTCTTAATGCTACCAGTGAGAAAATAGATGAGCAAAAGCACAGGGTAAAGAAAGAATAAATGCTTAAAGTTAACTTATCCTACAATACAAAAGATATATGAGAACAGTTGTTTGAAAACTCCGCTGACTAGTGATAACGTTACTTTTCAGTCAAAATGCTTAATAGAATAAAACTCCTTTGAACAGAGCAGAGTAGATGAATGTRACATCTCAAAGACTTTGAATGAAGCATTTATTACAGAACAGCTCTAACTTTCTTTCTTTTTACTTCCAGATCATAGAAATAATCACATTCTGCATTCTCCTTTATTTTTACAAAAGAAAGGCTGTGAAGCACATTGTAGTTTTGTTAATGCTGGTAGCACTACTGGGTAAGAACATATTATTCACTTTAATGTTGCTGTCTGTTGCTTGATAATTCCTTGTCATTCAGTCCCCCCCCACTGCCAGTCCATATCTGGCCATTCGAAGCTGTGTCCTGAAGGAGAATCCTTAAAAAAAAATTACATGATTTTACTGTGGTCCCTTTTCAAAGAGAGAAAAAAAAAACAGTTCCTAAACACAGTTTCTATGCATATTGCTAGGGCTGTTTCTTTTTACAGATTTGCTTAAATTAATACTCTGTTGAAGCCTTTTAAAATAACACTTTATGTTTAGATACTGCAACTGAGATTACTGAGTCTGTTCGATATGTTTTTTGGAAAGCAAAATTGGTGAAAATCAGGACTTTAAAACGGAGCAAGTGAAGACTTTGTAGGCACTCTGTAAGTATATACAGTGCTACAGTGTGCCTACCTGGAAACTTTTCTTTGAATTACCTATTTCAGAAGCCTAGCAAGTACTCAGAGGGCCACTGAAGTTTGTGTTCTGATTAATGTTGCTGTCAGAAAATAGGCAATATCCAGAGAAACAGGGAAGATCATTTTCTAGGGCAGCTTCTAATAAAGTCAGATTTGAAACAGTTTTGGAAAAAGGCAGGAGGTTATCTGTAAAGTTCTACTGCTTGCAGGATATATTATGAATTTGCTACCACTCCACATCTTCTCCTATCTTTGTCTTCACAGTTCTCCACAGAAACCCTCATGGGAGACGATATTTATTTGATGATTGAGGTGAAAGGGGCTAAAACTATGCCACTGATATCAATCCATTTTCCACTGAGTTCAGTGGGTACATGTATCAGCTTTCAAAAACTTAGAAAACTTGTTTATGATGGAGCTGGTCAGAAAAGTTTTGATAAAGTGGAGTTTCAGCAGAGTTTGCCAGTTACACAATTTGGATTTAATTGAATATGATTTGTTAGTTGGATTTCACCAGATTCTTGTCTGGTTTATCACTCAGTTGATAAGCTTGCACTTACAGATTTACCACTTTGGGACAGTTCATCACTTAAATTCCCTGCCATCAGGACCATTAGGATCTGTAGCACTACATTAGCCTTGAGAGATTTCCACACTTCCCGCATGAGACGGAGGTTTAAGAGCCTTCAGTGTCTTGCAGCTAAATGGTTTGCAGGACAGTGTAGGATGTGTGAGTTCAACCAGGGTCTCAGATCTCACGTGGAAGCTGAGAGCTTTGGGAGAGCTCACTTGAACTGATCCCAGTTTAAGGCTCTGTCACCAGGAACAGCTGGATGCTCCCAAGCAATTACAGGCTCTTGCTGAATAGCGGGAGGTCCAGAGGCACCGACATGGGTTTTCATAACTGAGTGCTGCAGTTTTGGACGGACTGGCCATGGGGGCTGCCCCACTCTACAGCAGAGCCACARTATGAGGGAGCTCAGCCTCCATCTGCACAGGCTGGGCTGCGAGTTTCCCTGTGGAGCCTGGGGCCTGGACACCCCCAAGAGCAAAGGGGTGCACAGGGTGCTCCAGGCCCTGAGATTCCCCAGCAGATACCAACTGTATTTGGTGGTCAGGCTGAAATCAACCCAAAAGTCACAAATTCAGTTAGTGGCTGCTGAGGCTTGGTAGAGCACATGCAGCTTCAGCAATGATGTGCCATTATTTCTGCTCTGTTAAAAAAGACACGAACAAGCAAGTTCTGCTTCACGGGAACTTTTGAAATACTGACATGGCCCTCGAGCAGGAAATCCAGAACTGTAGTCAGCTCCAGGCCTGCAGCCATCCTGCTGCCTGGCAGCCCCTAAGCTAAAACTACCTTTAGTCCTCTGCTCTCTGACCCTTCTGCTGAGCAGACTCTTGGGGAGCTTTTCTGGTTCACTAGGCCTGAGAGAAGGCCCAGGCGCTTTGCTCTCCATCATCTGACACATGAACAGCCCTCAGAGAGCCCTTGGTACAGGAGCAGTGGACAAGGTTTGGGGGCTCTGTGTAGAAAATTCCTTTTGACAGCTCGTGGAGGGCAATTTCTGCCTTTTCTGACATTTGCACTGATAAGCTCCTAGAAKAGGGTTCATACTGATATAAATTAAATGTAGAAAAGCTTTTCTAAAGAGAATGCAGCTTTTGTGTTTCATTGGATACAACGAGATCTATTTTTATTATGAGGAAAATACAGAACTGATCATAAAATTTGCAAATATTTTGCTTAATACAAGCCTGCAAGTTGACTTGGTAAGAATTATCTTACCTCATGCATGTGCTGGGAGTTATCAAAAATTCAAGGGAGAAATTTCAGATTAAAGTGGGATTTCTGAGTTTCCTGCTCCAACAGCTGGACAGTGACATCATTTGTCACATGAGCTTTGGGAAGGTCATTCTATTAGAGATAGCAAAACCATTGCGTAGGTTTAAAAACCTGTTCCAGGGTTACTTTAACTAAAAGAACATTTTGCTTTTCAGAATACAAAACAATTTATGTTTTCTTTTCTGATTTATTAAAATTGTAGGGGATGAAAACTGCACGATCATCAGAAACCATTCTTTTGAAATCCTTGCTCTCAAATGCACAGTTCAAAATACCCTTTTTTACATGTAAATAGTATTTTAAGACAGTAACTCCACCACCTTACAGTGCAACTCTCAATCATTTTGAGATTTTGTTTTGTTTTGCTTTTCTCATATCATTAGCACCACTGCTGTCCAGAACTTGGCATATTYTGCTTACTTTGAGTACTGCTTTGTTAAACAACTCCACCTATTTCAATTACGGGGCAAGAAATGAAATGCTGAYGATGAGCAAAGGTGGTCACTAAAGCAATATTTCATGACTGCGAAGGGGAGCATCATGCAGTTCTTAAACTCCCTCTGAACTTCTGAAATAGTTGCATGAAAAATGCTTGGAATCAAATCCCCAGACCTGAATCCTTCCTTCTTCCCCCACCTTTTTCCCATCCCCCTTTGGAAAGCACAGATTTCCTTGCCAATCTGAATGTTGTAGCTATACCAGCATGATTCAGAAAACCAAAATCAAACACTCCTTAATTCTGAAGAAGGTGGATCCCAGCTARGGATTGTGTTCTTCATGATTAATTACTCCTATTTTAAGGTCATTTCTATACTCTGACTCTTATTATTTTTATTTTGTTTGAATTTATTACATTTTACTTGAGTAATCACAAACTATTTATCTTAGATTCAAAAACCAAGAGCACACTCCCAAAAAAATCTACTTGAACTAGATTCATTGTTGAGCTGTCAGCCTCTTTTCTAAATGATGTGTTGCAAGACTTCTCTGGACTGGCAACATATAGAAAAATCTTTGCCTGCTCTCTTAAAAAAGATTCATTTTTTTGGCAATAGAAAGGCAATAGCTAAATGGAGTGAAAATGCACTACTTAAATATTCTGTTTGTTAGCAAAATCCAGTCATGGTATGAAAAACTTGGCCCCTGGAAAGAAATGCAGASCCCTGTGTTAGTTGGTTTGACTGTTTGTAGCTCACAGGGATAGTCTGGTGCCTTTTGATGGGACCTGAAGGGTCAACTCTGTCTGACTTTACCAGCTCCTTACCCAGCAAAGAAATCCTGAGGATTGGGAGTTATTTTAAACCTTTAGGCTGACAATATCACACGCTGTGAAGGAGATGTCCAGTGGCTTTGAGCAGATAACGAGACGCCGCCGACCCCCTCCTGGATAATACAATATGGGCTCCAAATTAGCAGCTGGGGCTAAATAAAGCATGTCTGGAAGATGTAGAGGCTGTAKTTCCCATTCAGTCTGATAGTTCAGTGTCTAAGGCATGTGCCCAGAAGTGGGAAAGGGATTCAGCTCTTTCCTCAGTTCAACCTCCCTCATACACAAACACATGCACCTAGTCCTATCTTGCAGGATTTTATGAGACCTACGTATAAAATAGACTTCAACCTGACCTACTTTACTGAACGTGTGGAATTTCTGCGTAGATGCAGGGTTGCAGACCTCACTGACAGAAGAACTTCAAAGCGAAACAATAAAGCACACATGGAGTTAATGTCACTCTGAGCTTAGGCAGTAGCTTAGCAAGGGTTTATAAATTCATGTGTTTTGATTTAGTCGTCAAAACTCTACTCCAGTCTCTCTTCAGATGAGAGAGTCCTTTGGATGCAACCTGGCACCTCGTTCTCCCTCACTCCGAGGCACTTGCTATGGATGCTGCCCTGCTAATATCTCCCTTTTCCTTTCAGCCTCGCTGACAGTCATTGCTGTGAAGGCTGTGGCCGGCATGATAACACACTCTGTGAAGGGTAAAATGCAGCTTGCTTATCCTGTTTTCTATATCATGTGCATTTTAATGGCAGCTACTTGTGCTTTCCAAATCAAGTAAGTGAGTTTCTACTAATCTGCTAACCTCTGTACCCATTTATCTGTCAGTGTAGTTCAATACKGCTATTGACTCAGAATACAGCTAAATGCAACAAATTCCTGACAGAGCCTTGACAGATGCATGAATTGCCTGCAGTTGATTATGTTGTTTATTTAGACTTTATTTCACAGTTTGTAATTGATTAATTGCACAAGGTGCTACCTCCTCTCATTATCAATTCACATGCAGTTTTTCCCAAATCACTTTTAGCTTTGCCAGGTTTTGAACTTTTTAAAAGAAATTTATGTTCCTGATGCTTTTGGCTGCTGCTTTTAACAACCTTCACTGATGAATAATCCACACAAACAGCCACACATACATACCCTCATTACACACCTCTTTTTTCCTGACTTATATCACTCATCAGGCTGAAGAAGAGAGTTGGCCACCACTTTCTCCCCCTTTCTTTTAAACCTGACTGCTGAGCTTTGTTACCCCATCTCTTTAGGAAAGAGTTAACTTTTGGTGAGCAGGGGACAGGGTGGTTTCCCTGCTGGCCTCTCGCCTGTTAAGTGATGGTTTCATGCTGCCTTTGCAGATTGCTGCGGGTGGCAGCACGGTAAAATATTGCTTGCAGCTGAACGCAGAGGCCGTTCCCTTCATGCCGGTCCCTCCGCTTCAGGTGCTGATAGCATCATTCAGTAATCTCATCTAGACTGCTCCAGTGTGAGCTGGAGTGTTTACTTGCATGATTATTTTCCGGTAGAGGAGCCAACCCAGCTTTCTTGTGGCAGAACATATCATTCCCATGTGGACTCGGGAAGTCCATGCGTTATTATGCAGTGACTCTCCATGGCTGACTCGGGAACTCCCCTGCAAGAGATTAGAGAGTGATTTACATGCAGCTTGTCTTCGCTGGAAGAACAGCTCTGGCCATTTAAAATAGGAAATAAAAGTTTTAGTAAATAGGAAGCTCCCAAATTAACCTCTCCTTATTGCCAAGTCTTTCTTTCCTTTCTTTCCTTTYGATCAGAATTAGAGGATAAGTGAAATGTGCCACCTTCATTCCCTAGCTCAGTGTCTTTTCCTCTCTCCTCCATTGGACACATTTTCTATAAGAGGCAGTGCTTTCAGTCTAGATTTTCCATTTTATTTTTGTTTTCCCTTTTGTTTTATTTAACTGTCATGTGTTTGCTCAGAGCAGTCCATGCTGCAACATCCTCCTGGATTCAATTCTGAGCTTTGGTATCACTGTTTTAGTCCCTGTGACCAAGTTTGTTGCAAATGGGAGAAAATAATGAGGTGTTTTCAATGACTTCAAAATCCTGACTATGCTGTGGATATGTAGGATTTCTTTATTTTTAAAGCACCATGGAGACTGTTCAACAGTTGCTAAAATAACCATGCAATTACTTTAATGGCTAAAACAGATCCAAGCTTGGATTTTTACTGTTCAGCTATATTGTACCAGTGAAACATTTAAACATGGTTCTTTTTATAGGTTTTGAATACACTCCGCAGCCTCTGGATTTTTCTCTCTCTGTTTGAAATGATAACACAGTATCTGCTCCTGCCTCCCAGGGTTCACACTCATGATTCATCACCTCGTGGGTAGAGGCTGATAGAACTGTTCTCCTTAGAAGTGGGTTCATTGGATTTTTCATCGGTTGATGCAGACCATGAGGGCTGCTCCACAACCTGCTCACCGACATCGTGGTCTGCAGGCTTGTTTGCAAAGTATGATCACGTAGTCCTGTATCTTGCTAATGATCCTGGTGAGGTTTTGTTTTGCCCTTCTGCGAAGCACAACACAGAGCTTCCAGGCCAAGGAGCACAGGATGGGAGCCACCTTCCCAGGCTTTCCTGGCAGGACACTATGCCCCCCATAAACTGCTGTGGGACTGCATGGATGAACATACCGCTGTGTATTTTAACCAAGCTGGCTTGAGCAGCAGCACCACAAAGGCAGCAATGTGGACTCCAGCAAAGTGGAACTGCTCCTACAAAGACTCCCTGCCCAACCATGCTGGATATATATAAAGCCTTGTACAGCCTGTTTAAATTAGAGCAACTTGCCCTGCCTGCTTGAAGGCAGCACAACTTCCAAAAATAACTGATGCAGAACATAGGCAGTGACACTGTCCCACTCCTTCTTTACCTGTGGCAGACAACATTTTTTCCAGTGAACCTTCAACAGGGACTTTCAAAGCCTGTGGACAGAGGAATTCCCTCCAACCTTCTGTCCTGTTTGTACTCTGCAGAGTCAAACTCATAGGCAAATTTAATATGATTATCTGTTTGTCCAGGGTRGTTTGAAATTGTAGTGAGAAACAGTTAGACTTATTATTTAACTTGCATTAAATTGCAAAATTAATTTGCACAGACTTTCTTGAAGTGGAAAGAACTTCCTGTGCAGTAACTCATGTCTTCCAGGTTCTTGAATCAAGCCATGGAGTTGTATGAAATAACAGCAGTTGTTCCCATTAATTTTGTGTTCTCCACAACCAGTGCCATCATTTCAGGTTTGTTTCTGGCCTTTTGTCTCTACAGAATGATTTTCTAAGGATCAAGCTTGATTATCACCTTTGACAGGAACACAAACCAGTCATGTTTGTCTCCACCAGAACAACTTTCTAATTTGACAGGTGTTTAAGTTCTGAATAATGAATAAGTTCATAACCTTTAAAGCAAAATAAAAAATAATCAAACTCTAGCTTTTGATAAGTAAAGTTTACCGTGCCTTGCTGGCTTACTGGAAATACCTACATTTGTCCTATCCTCATACTGACATCCAGTAAATGCATTTACCATGTGTACACCAGCCTCTCCATATCCGAACTGGTAGAGTAATTTTAACAGCCTGGCAAACTACTCAAATGACAACCAGCTGTGTTTCATAGTAGTTAGTGTATATTCAGTTTCAGAAGGCGGAATACTAGGTTAAGTGAAGGAAATAAAATGACTCTGAAGTCCTTTTAAGCATTTAACATTTCATTCTGGGTGAGAACTTTGAACTCAGTGTTGTTAAAGAGCAACTGCAAATCTTGGAAATGCTGCACAGTGTAAGAACATGACCAGGGAGGAGGACTAAGATGCTGTATCAGCAATGAGCCCAAATGATCCTGTTGTTATAACATTTATGACTCATTTTAACACACACTGGGGGCTTTCCTGTCATTGCTGTGCAGGAGTTTCTCATGCAGAGCTGCCGTTAATGAGAAGGGGAGTTAGCCTCATGCACAGAYTGCCTCAGCACCTGTGTCAGAAGAGACCTACACTTTCTGACTGAGAGGAGACTCTGGCCAAGAGGGGGTTGCATTCTTGGGACCATATGGAGAATTTGGCTTTTTGCCTCCTAGAAAGATCAAGTAACTATTCAGGAACAGCTTAATAGCTTTGAGACTGGATACATATGCATTTGCACCAGGTTAGTTAAACCAGTGCAGGGCTCAGGAGAACGAGCTCTGATGGATCTTGCTGGGGTACACGCAGAAGGCACCTTCTTTAGCGGCTCCCCCATTCCTAGTTGCAGTCTTTGAAGATACATTTACTCTTCAGCTGCTCCAGTTCACACTGTGGTGTTTCTAAGTAAAACTGTGCTCCTCAGTGGTTTAAAGCTCACGCATTTGGCTGTGAACTGGGGCAGCTGAGATCCAGATACGCATCTGGTTCTGTCACCACCACTGCAGAAGTGCTAATTCCTAGAGAAGGGGTGACCAGAAAGAGTTCGTGAGCTCTTCAGCCAGAAAGATTTGGCAAACTTGGCTGCCTCAGCCCTTAACCTAGTATAAATATCAGGGATACTGCTTCTTAACTAAAACCTCATCTTAATTGGAGTTAAGATGGCCTGTTGGAGTGGCTTAACTAAATCCTTGAAGAACTTGTAGGCTACACTGGTATGACCCTGCCTGTGAACAAGACCTTGAGCCTGACCTGCATAAAATCTGTGTTGCTGACAATGCAGGAAAAAAAAAAAAAAAAAAGCATCTGTGTCTGTGCAGTTAATAACAGCAAGCACACCAGCCTGATAAAGTAAATCTTCTTCAGGCCCAAACAGTATCCTGAGAAAGCCTATCTGATAGAATATGGAGATATAATATGAATCCCCCATAATGTATATTAATACCATATTTGGGATTTTTTTTTTTTTTGCTCCATTTGAGCATAACACTGCTCCTGACCCTCCCAGCTGTAATTCATATCACTTGGAATCCAGTCAAGATCTGCAATTCTTGTTTCTGTCACATTCCAGGGGTCATATTTTATCAGGAATTCCAAAGTGCAGCTCTGCTGAGTGTGTTCATGTTTCTGCTCGGGTAAGTGTATCGGCTGAAAATCTGCACTAAAGCTTGTATTGAAACAACAGTGCTTTGCAGACTGCCTTCGTTTCTCAGTAAGAAGAAACCTGCCTTGTTATTAAAGTATTATGGAATAGCCATTACAGTAGGATAAAAAACATTAAAGGAAAGATTAATATCAGAGCTATGGGGGTTTGGAGGCCTGTTTTGGAATCCAAATATGTAAAAATGTGAGACACTTATGAACTACTGATCTCATGATGGAATGAAAACCCAGCAGCATGTGTTCCTCCAGCAGGAAGGGCAGATCACTGCTCCCCTCCCAAGATCATGTTATAGAGGAGACTTTTATGACTGCGAGAAATGTCCCACCACGTTACCTTCCACTTGCATGGTCCAGCTGTTCCCTGCTGCCGTTGGCTGTGGACACTTGCCTGCATGCAGGGCAGTACTGGAAAAACCTCTCTCCCGTCTCCTTTTGCTCAGGAAGACACAGCATGCCTGCTGCAAAGCTCAGCTGTGATGAAGCTGCTAATGGCAAATGGTTGAGGAAGAGCTAAGCAAGAGCAGAAATCCACTGCTGGCCACCAGCATAGCTACAATTCAAGGGACAGGTGAAAGCTGTTTGATAACAAGGATGCGATAGTTAAATGCGTCTCCCCTGAACTCTTGGTTGTGTGTCTTTCCACCATTGTCAAATAAATGAGGCTGACAACCACACACATCTTCCCCAGAAGGCAGATTGCAGTAGACACACAGAACTGGTATGTTGTTTGATGGCAAAAAATGCAACAGAAAATGGAGATGAGCAAATTCAATCCATGTATTTGTCAGGCAGGAAGTAGTGACTGTGTGTCCCACACAGAGCACACAGATTTATCCAAGCATAGCAGCTTCTCATTGCTCCTGGCTTTCAGCTTGCCCCTGAGACACACAGTCAAATGAGAAAAACAACAGAGATGTTGACTGTCCATAACAAGACTGAGTTGCTAATGAAATTGAAAGTGCTAAAACATTAGTTCAGRCACTCTGTGAAGATGTGCTCAAGGATTCAAATGTTGTGGTCTCACACTCACAGGCAGCTGTTCCTATGTCACAGAAAGTGTAATTTTATTTGCAGAGCCCTTGGTACTGATAATAAAGCTTCAGGAGGCAAAAGCTAGGTTGACAGGGAGCCCGGGTTGAATTTATAGAGCTGTCAGGAGCAAAAGTTTCTTACAAGCTGAGCAGTTCAGGTTTGGAAGTCCTTGAAAATGAAATGTGGAAAGAAATCCTCATCCCATGTTCAATTACTGCTCCCAATTATACTATGTCACTGTTTTTTGCAGGTGTCTCCTTTCTTTTCTTGGTGTATTTTTAATTACAAGAAACAGAAACGAGGAACATTCACAGATTCCTTATATTGACTGCGGAAATATTCCTGGTAAGTAGGGGTTTTTGTTTGTTTTGTTTTTTTTCTCTTGTGTCTCTGTTTAAAAGTGATTTATGAGATAGTAGGATGACCTGGGAGAGTTGAGTCAGGAATGTTCTTTAATCATATTTAATAAATATACTGTTCGCTTAATTTCTATTCCTGTTCCCAACAGAATTTAAAGGAATTTTTCATACTTTTTCCAAGCTATTGTTACAACCAGTCAAGTGAAAACAATGATTATTGGAGCAAAGAATGTTTAAATGATGGATTGGTGGAGGATTTGTTTTATTAAGGTTTTTCACAGAGTTGTTGTTTTTCCCTTCCTTCACCCTCATTCCTTAGGACAAAAAGTGACAGGCAAAATACAGCCAGATTCTCACCATTTGTGTTACGGCACTTTGAATAATGAAGATGACATGGGGAAACCCAAAGGCTGAAAGAAAAAGCAGCATGCTTACCAGTTAACAAGAGAAATACCACTGGGACAAGGATCAGGAGCACCATTTTTCTGGATATATTCAAGTATTTATTGTATTTCTGTATGTCAATGTGTTATAGTAATATTTAGTSCTGCTCAGTTTATCCCCTGGCTGTCCCAAGTGTGTTATGAAGACAAAGGAAGCTTTAAGAGGAACTATTTAAGTGTTAATGAAACTGAACATTCTCTTGCTATAAATGTTGCTTGGTGATGATTTGGAGCTATTTTTAGTTTTAATTGCCTAGAAATGCAAACAGGCATACAACAAAAATTTTAAAAACTTTGTTAATTTTAAAAATTTGCTTTTGAAACCCCCTTAGACATGCTTAGATGCCTAAAGACAAAGATGGGTAATGAGGAGAATTTTYGTAAGTGACTTCAAGTATTCTGCTGTATGTGCAATGCCTTTAAAAACCTGATCCTTTCTGTTTGACAGTCAAAAACTTTGTGCAAGTATACGGTATGCACAAACATTTATACACAATGTATTTTAATTTATGGATAGTGGGAACATCCCGACTTGCTTCTTGCTTCCCATCAGAGTAATTTCCTTATCTTGGAAGGAGATGCAGCCTTGTGTGAGCAGAGCACCTTCCTTGTAAGCACAGGTACAGGCACACGTGCTCTCTGATGAAGCGGCTCAGCCAAAGCTGAACTGGKAACAGTACTTGACGTTTTCCAACTTCCCAGAAGAGCCTCGTGCACTTGGCTGTGCTGAGGAGAAGCAGTGTTAGTAGAGTCTAGCCTGAGGCTTAGCATCTGTTTTCAGGGAAAGAAGTTTTTAGTGAGGAGAGTGAAAAGTCCTCCAGAGGAAACGAGGGGAGCCAGGCTCCCTCCCTTGGGGTGGTTTGCAATATACTTTTAAGGAGAAAAGCAGGGGATGTGGGGCGAGTCCCACCGCCTTCCCAAATTGATGGTACTCCGGCATGAGGGAAGGCTGGAGAAACCAGCCTATGAAGAAACATTTTCTTCATAAAAAGGTCAATTCTGTGCACTTGTTCCAAGAGCTGATAGTGTCGGGAACTGCAGCAATGGCTGGATTTCAGTCCAGGAGGCAGCGAGGCCTCCCTGGGCCTCAATCCCAGCCTCTGGTAAGAAATTCCCTCTGGGCATCCATGCCAGCTCCGCCAGGCACTGCTGCCCCACACGGAGCATCCCTCACACGCCAGCCTGCAGGAATGAGGAGAAGGGCCTGGGAAARGGGCCCGGTGCGAGCCTTGAAGTCTTGGGCAAAACTCTTTTAGGTCGGAGTTAATCTGCAGTAATGGATACAGGCCCTGTGCGGGGAGYACTTCGTTTCAGCAGGGTATGAGAAAATGGCACCTCCTGGTTTTCCAAGCAATTATTTCATTTAAAAATAGGCGCAGCAAAAGAGCAGTAAGATGGGTTGGTTTCAAATACTAAGGAGTATCCAGAGCACGGTAGTCCTTCCCATGCAGCAGTGTCCGGAGGGCAGGCCTCAGTGTGGGTGTGAATTTGGCTCTGGACTTGGATCTTTCCCAGCTGGCACAGGATGAGATTCAGTRTCTGCACCTTACCAGCTGCCCGGTCATGGCCTTCCTCTCCCCCCCTGCAGTCTAAGGGAAACAGAAGTTCAAGTTTCTAAAGTTCAAAATAAAACGAGTTTTTTTGGTATGCTTTCTCCAGGGAATAAAGACATGCTTCCATCTTTCTTTTGCAGCTCAGATTTAAGCCACTTTTTCTAATTCTCAAGTGAAAGGTGTGCTCAAGATGGAAATGGGAGGCTTATAGTTTTTCTTCTTGTGACCTAGGATACAAGAGGATGAAAGGATTTGTTATTGATTCTTTTTTAAAATTATTGGTCTTGGGCATCTTTCTGAAATTGGTTTCCATGGTTTGGAAGGGCTGGAGGAGACAGTAAGGGTTCCCAGGTATAGATATATATATTTTTTTTTGAGTAGGAAATTGCATGCAGAATTCAATGGCAAAAGCTATTATTTATTTTAAACTACTGTAATTCTTCTTGAATGCCCCCCCTTTTTTTTCTCCCAGTGGGCTTATACAAAGATTATATGGGTTAAAACGTGTTCTGTATGCCTGAATGTAATTTAAATTAATTTATGGAGCAAAAATCCAGCAGGAATTATGTGCAATTAAAAAATGTCATTTGGCATGATTTTGAGATGTGGACACATTCCAACTAATGTATTACAGGGCCAGAAAACTGTGATGAGATTTCATTATTGCTGTGCAAAGAAGGGGACATGTTTTGTTTTAAGACTCAATTCCTAATCAATGTCATTTTCACATTGTGCTTGTGATATTTGGGTTGAAAACACCATAGACAAATGTTTTCTAAAAGAAAGTCCTTTCCWTTGGAATACAAAAATATCACTGGAACCCATTTCTTTAATAATGAGGTTTTTTTTTTTCTTCCTGTGTTTTTCTTGACACCAAAAGTCTGTGCCAGATACAAGCTGTGAAACTTGCACCTGCAAACTGAACTTTCTTGAGTAAATACTCTTTGGAATCTGAGGAAATAAAAATAAATGAAGGCGTGGTGGACAGTCAGCACCTCACGTGATCCCTGCAGGCTCCAGTTTGGGATTTTGTAGATCAGAACCAGCCGGACTTATTTAGTGCTTGTTCCACTGCTGATGAATACTGCAGAAAAAGATGAAGTATWAACTGGCCAAGGGCCTGGAAATGGGAATGCTGGAGGAGAGTTAGGCAATTTATTTTTTGCCATAAAAATATCAGGTTGCCTTTGCCAAATGGTTTCAGCTGGCAAAAAATAAATTAATAAATTAATCTTCCCACAGCTGCCAGTGATAGGGGCCTGGYGTTCACCTGGCAGGTTTATGTGCTGCTCCCTCTATGGCCCTGCTCAGGTCTTGTGTGTGAGGGACCTGGCTCACCTATAACCATAGGAGAAAGGTCAGAGTTTATAGGGGCTTCTCTAGTGGCTCAAAGAGCTTCTCTGCTTTGAAGCTCTGGTTTCACAAATCTGATGAGCTGCTTCAGCAGTTCAGTGCTGCTGGAGGTGTCACCGTTTTTCTCCTGGTCCTGCACTGCCTGTGGCCTCTGTGAGCCAGTTCAACCCACTAATCCTGCCGAAACAGCCTTTCCGCTTCCCTGCTTTCCCTGCTTTCCCTTCCCAGGTCCACTCAGGAAGGTTTGCAAGTGGAGGTGGCCCACGGGAGCGTCTGGCTGGGGCATTTGGTGTGAAGCAGAGGAAAACAGGGAGAGAGAGGTGACCTCTGTCCTCTAGCAGGGGCAGCTATTGCATAATGCCCCCTCTCCTGAAGAGCATCATGCAGCAAGGATCCTGCAAAGCAGGATCCTACTAATGCAGCAAGGATCCTGCTAACATGAGCATGTTGGCTCATGTGCCAACATGTCCCAAACACATGTCCCAAAGCCTTTGTCAGTGCGTAGGTTTTAAGTGTCTGACTTCTGAGGCTAAACCGCAGGTCARACTTGCCATGCTGTGCATGGTGAGGGTTGGGTGACTCCACCTGGGAAAGAGATGGGCACCCTGTGGCATGAGGAACATCCTTAGGTCAGCCAGGAGCACAGACATGTGTCTAATGTTCTAACGACTGATTGTTTTTCTTTCTAGTGACTGATATGAAGTGCATAAACAGGGTTGGACTGGGACCAAGTGCCCTCAGCACTGCTGTTGTAATCGAGGTCTCCTTCCAACTCACTTCTTGTAGGGAAGSCGGCTGCTTGCAGAGAAAAATGTTAACTTTGATAATTCTGGAGTACAAATGATCAGATTGACCTGTCTCCCAGTTTGCACTTTTGTTATAGTCCTCTGAGGCTCAGCCTTTTTCTTGTTTAAATGTTTTGGATTTTTGTTGCCTTTGGAGAAATCAGCTGGACTGTCTCAGTGAGGAGTCCAAAGATTAACACAGGCTAATTTCCTTAATTATTATTGGAGCGCCAAGTCATAAGATTTATAACTTGAGGCTGACCAAAGAGAAAAAATGAAGAAAAATGTAGCTTTATGGATTCTCAGGAGTTTGAGAACTCCTGAGCTTGCAATGTTCCTGGGATCTGGGACAGAATCAGAGACACCAGTGAACAAACAATGACAACATTTATTTTTGTATGTGTTTTTAATTTGTTGGATTTTTTTTTTTTTTTTTTTTTTTTTTTTGAAATGTAGTATAGCTTCTCTTTGCTTAGATAAGGACAAAAGAAAGTAAGACACTCTGTTGGTGGATGGGTGATATTCTGACCTTTTGAAGCTGAGAGAAGTTTTTTTTTTTTTTTTTGAAATGTAGTATAGCTTCTCTTTGCTTAGATAAGGACAAAAGAAAGTAAGACACTCTGTTGGTGGATGGGTGATATTCTGACCTTTTGAAGCTGAGAGAAGTTTAGAAAACACCTGCTGACATGTTCCCTGGCTAAAGTAGCCATTAAGTTATAATACAGAGGTAGGCAGCACTGGCAGATACATCACTGYATACTGGTAGTCACAACTGTTTAGAAAGGCTCTTTGTCCTCTTCTTGTGTATTAGATCTCCTCAGAGCACTTGTACCTGGTCTGGGCCCCTGGGCTGCACATAAACGTATTTTTGGAACATACTAATAGAAGAAAAGCTGGGAGAAAATAAAATGAGGAAGTGCACCAGATGATAGCACACTGTCTGCAGTAGCATTTGGCCTGCTGAGTGTCTCGGGTGGGGGTGCCAGGTAAGTGTGTCTCAGTTCACAAGATGATGATGAGCTACGAAGATGTCCCGAGTGTCGCATGGACACAGAGGGATGAATCCGAGGGACATCTAAGATCCTCCAGACAAAGGCAACTATTGAGTTTTCAAACTAGAGCTACTGTAAAAGGCTAACTGAATAGTGCGTTTACCTCTGACTGTTTTACATGTAGTTAATGTATTGCTGTAGCCCATGGCATTAATACTTTGAACAGAAGTGGACTGCGGCCGCTGATGAAAGAGCAAATTTTTGTATTTTGCTAGGTCACACTAGGAAAAATGGAAATGATTGATTTAAGCCTCCAGCACAAATATGCACTTGCCAGCTCTCCAGTTGGAGATTTCCACTCTTGGACCAGGCCCTGCCTTCTCTAGATGAAATTGTTGGAGTCTGCTGCCAGTTCTCTTGCCAGACCCATTAAGCTGGTTGAAAGAGCAGCACTGTCATTTGTCTCTGCTTGATAGTTGGTGGGCATAAATCCAGACTAGCATTAACACTGGATCAGGACTTTTCTCTCCATTTGAAAAAATTAAAAAGCATTGCTCTTCAGTTTCAAT